CAACTGCTTATTATTATTATTTTTTTAAATCAGCCAAAACTTGTATAGCAATAGATCAAACCAAGAACATCAAAATAGAACTTCAAAAACTCAAGAAAGGGGGAGAAAAGCTAAGGCAGACTCAAGGGACCTTACCCACTGCGCAGACAACAAGGGCCATCATTGGAGGCAGAAATTAAGAATATAACATAGGAAAAACCAACGAGCCAACAGCCTTCCAAATAAAAGGCACCGAGAAGAATCAAGGGAATGAATAAATGAATAAATGAGAAGGAAAAAATTTTAATATGAAGAAAATTTATAACTAAGATAAGTTAAAAAGATGTGGTATATAAAACATAAATTGATAGGAGTAATAACAAATATTTACTATTTCTGAAAATATAAATTTATATTTGTTGTTTTTAAAATCGAATGTGTATTACGTTTATTAAGAGAAAAGCAAATTAAATTTAAATTAGATTAATTATTAGTAATTTAAAAATAACTTTTGTTTTCTAAAACTATAGAGTTTATGAATTATCTAATTTTATAGAAGGTTAGTTTGCTTTTTAAATTTTTTTAAATGTTTAAGAAATCCAATATTACCATATATATATATATATATATATATATTAATATAATATATATATATATATATATATATATATAATATATATCAAACTGTTGTAAAGAAGATGAATTAAAATAAAGATATACTATTTAATTAACATATTTAAATAAATTAATGTTTTCTTATTAAACTAATTTACGATTAAATTTAAATTTTAATTAAAAATAAATTGAAATATATTATTTAAAAATCAATAATTAGATAATAATTTTATATTTAAAATGAAAACCGTTATGTAATTTGCTTTCACTCAATGATATTTATCCGAATGACCAAGTGATTTCTAAATTTGAGATGCCTATAGTCGAAAGCAGGTCAACGAGATGAATCCCACTCAACCTCTAGTGTTTGGACCCACCCCTCGACCAAACTAGCGTTGATGCCCACTAACATTGAGCCTCCGCCAACCGATTGATGCCCTTTAATTTTTTCTAGGCCGAACATTTCCTCAAACAAAAATTAGAGACCACTAATTAGCCATCGAATTAATGTTATGAGCTTTTTAATTTTGCTTTAAGCTCTTGATTTGATCCCATCGATCAAAAGGGCCAATTCAAAAGCATTACCTGTGTTGTGAAGCCAGGAAACTATAATTAGATCCCATCGATCAAAAGGGCGAATGCAAAGGTGATAAGGAGGAAAGATTTTCATTGTTCTTTGATTCATTTTCTAATCTACAAAGCAATATATATAGAGAATTATGCCTCCTTTAATCAAGGAATACATTGAAATCAAAGTTCCTTCCTTCCTTAAACGTCTCAATTTTAGAAATCCATCAAATTTTTATAAATTAATGAAGAATATTTTGATCTATCATTCAAGGTTTATAACTTTCCAAAAACATCTCAAATTTATGGAAATCCATCGATATTTCTAAAATAATGGAGAATATTTATATCCATCTTTTATAGTTATATCCTTCTTAGAACATCTCAATTTTACAATAATTAATTTCCTAAATTAATATAGAATATTTAACAATAATGTTTTACTTTATTAACAGATTGTGCTTCTGGTACACAATTTTTGTATATGTGAGCAAAAATAACAGATTTTATTTTCATAAATTATTCACGTTTTATTGTGATTAATAGAAAAACCATAGGCAACCTTTAAATAAGCCATTATATTAATATGTGCAATTTATATGAATTTTTATTAAATCCGATTGTTATAGAATTTATAATAAAAATGGATGATTTTGATTAATCAAATGGTAATTTTATATTAATTACTAAAAAAATATGTATTCTAAGAGCACTGCTGACTGTTTGGTGCTAGAATATTTGTGATACAAAAGGCTTTTCATCTTAGCATTATAAGAAACAGTAGCTCAAACTTAAAAGAAAATTCTATTTTTAAGAAGCTTTTTTTTTCCTTCACCAATTAGGTCGGGTCAGGTCAACTCGGCTTACCCGAGTTGAGTTTGGGTCTAGATAGATTAACCGTTTTGCAATTTGGGTCGGGTTCGGGTTAGCTGAATTTGACTGGGGTCAATTTTGAATTAAGTATTACCCGTTTTGCTAAAGGAGTGTAGAGTTTTTTTTCATAAATATCCTTACAACTAAAATTTATTCTGAGGGCGCCGTCTTTCGACCCCTACTTGTTCATCATAGTATGCTTCACAAATATGTCCGGGGTCCAAGGGGGTTGTGCCCCTGCGGGGGTTTCTATGGGCAGTGCCCTTTGGTGTAACAAATTTTAGGATATTTTTGGATTCTCTTTATTATTTCTCTTTGTATTTAGTTTATCATTCCCTAACAATAACATCTCTACCCAATATGTTTAATTATGTTGTGGCAATTGCCTAAAGACCTAGTATTTGCCCCGTGGGCTTAAGTTTGATCGGCCCATGACCGTCCTGGATGCCGCGATTAAGAAGAATCACATCCTGGACGCTGCGAAACAAGTTGTAGTCGTGAGGGAACCCAATTAAAAGCAGCGGCCGATGAAGTCGTTGAACTAGATATTGAAGAATGAAATGCCGGGAAAAGAAAAAACCAGACATCTGTCATTGGCTTAGAGGTACATTGCATCGAGAGGGATGCAAAAGATGAACGTCGAGGAGATTATCTCCCACAACTAATTCTGGCGGAGGGAGCAAGAGCGATAACACTGGGAGTTCAAGAATTGATGACCAATACATTGAAATCACTGTTACTACCTTCCTCAAACATCTCAATTTTATAGAAATCCATCAATTTTCCTAATTTAATAATGAAGATTTATATGATCTATTCGCAATTATATCCATCCTAATACATCACAATACATTTTCTTTTTTTTGATATTTTCATTTGCTCATGCACATGCAATATAGATAGAGTGTATTAATTATGAACCCTCAATAAGAGAAATTATTTTGTGCGGTCAACAGCCGCCATCCAGAGACAAATCAGGACACTACAGGAAAAATGGCCTATACCGGCGGTTTTAACTGGCGGTTTATAGG